AAACAATAGTTAACAAGTTTATTAAGTAGGATGTCTGCATGTAAATAATAAATTTAAGGTTTGAGATATTTAAATTTAATAATTTTAGAAGTAAATATTTTTTAATAATTAATTAATTATTGCTAATAAGTTTAACGGCTCAGATTCATGCCCCCCTCAACCATGGTTAATATAGACTACACACGAGTACCCGCCTGCTCTTTCCACCGTGTTTCGTTTTCCTTCCCTTCCATTAACCACCCCTTCAACTTCTCTCCCCATTCCAAACCCTAACCCTCGCTCTCGCCCATCACGAAAAGATAACTTTCGAAATCCCAAAGCCTACCCATGGCCGCTCAGTCGGTCAGCAATCTTTACGAGACGGCATCTCAGCCGGACACGGGCGGCGATGCCTACACCTTTCTGGAATTCAACACGCAGGGAGACGACTACGACTACCCTGAGTTCCAAGAGCTGTCGCAGCCGAGCAGGTCTCCTACGTGGCGGGCACCGGTTGCGGAAGCCCGGGCGGATTCTTCAAACGCCGTTCTCCACTCCGCTGATCCGAGCGGGTCTAATCCTGCTTCATCCTCCGCGGGATCGTCTTCGTTCAGCAAGGCGAAGGCAGCAGCTGCTTCGTCAGCCGTGGATTCACTGGCGGTGGGAATGAGCGGCCTCAACTTTGAAGAGACAGGCGAGGATGAGAGCTACGCGTTTGGGAAAGGGGATTTCACCGAGCACGCGTGCAGGTACTGTGGGGTACAAAATCCAGCTTGTGTTGTTAGGTGCAATATTCCATCCTGCCGGAAATGGTTCTGCAACTCGAGGGGGAACACGTCTGGATCTCACATCGTTAATCATTTGGTGAGTATAGTTAGATGAATTCAATTTACTTGAGTGGTCTCCTATCGATGCTAACAGCAGCGGTTAGACTGGATTGGTTACAAGGATGCTGGAATCAAACTAGTTTCTTAACACACATCATGACCATTTTAAAACTTATTTGTAAATTGATTCTGCTTAAAACTTAACCCACGAAGCATCAAGACGGAGACATTGAGGATGGAGAACATGTTTCATTCAATATATTATAAATTTCATATCGCTCTTGTCAACGCTGCATAATATTTCTGTGCATCATTACACAAAATTTTCATCTTGGTATGATTTATCAAGCTTTCATATTGTAGTGAGATATAAAGCCTGCACCTAGTTGTGATTATTTAAACCTTCCATTTGTGGACATAAGAGTTCTGGTTTCTATTACAAAATTTTTATAAGAAGTTGATATGCTACAAGTCAGTTATGACTGTTAAATTTCGTATCCTCCTTTTTTATGTGGGACATAAGAGTTCTGGTTTCTATTACAAAATTTTTTTAAGAAGTTGATATGCTACAAGTCAGTTATGATCGTATCCTCCTTTTTTATGTTGCATGCATATCTCTCTTATATTTCATAATTATTCCGAGGGAAGCTCTCTCACACCTTTTATTTGCTAATCATACTACTTTCGCTTTCATTTTTTATTTTAGGATGAATCAGATTTAAGTTGGTCTAGTATAACTGATTGAGCCGTCGACTAGGATTTCACCTATTTACTTATGGCAAACTACCGAACTTCTGAGCAATTTCATTACTATAATTGGGTGGAGATTTATCAACCCCAAATTATGGGGATGTGCTCGTCCATAAAAAATCAAGAATCACTCACTTAAATAAGAGGAATCTCTTACTCCCCATCCTTAAGCCTTTTCCTTCAACATCCTTTGATTTCCTCTTCTATTACGATCCAAATTATGGTCTCCTGGCAAATTAAAGAAGGTTTGTTGTGGCGGTAGTTGGTTGAATGTTGTGGTTGAAGGATAATTGAGGGTTGTAAAGTAGAATAGTTATCTTATGGATACTTCATTATACCGTATATGGAAGAAAATTTGATCTCAAGTTCAAGCCCTTGAGGGAGGTATATTTGTTCCCATGTGTGATTCTGCATGATGGAATAAATTTAGCTTTTTATGGCCACTTTCCACAAAGAACCTTCATAAAAGCATACCAGTTATTTATCAGTTTGATGCTCTGTCACTACCATATAGGCTACAAAATTTGGAGCAAAAGACAATTTTGTTGTTGTTCTCTTACTTAGTTTAGGCTTTTCTTCAACCTTTTCAACTTCATTCGCTTATTTTTGTTCTGGCAATGCTTTTCGAAGTCCTAAATGTTCCATTACTCATAAGTTGTTTCTTTTGTTCTTTTTGTCTTATGAAACTATACTTAGATGATAATTAGCTGATAAAATGTCTTTCTCCCCATTTGTTATAAGGCAAACCAATTATAATAAGTACTGTATTCATCATGTCCTTTACAGTCTTAATTGAGGAGAACAATGAGGTGCGACATCATGTACTATTTTGCATTGCGCTTAAAGCTCAAAAAAGGGTGATTTATAATTACCATCACAGTTATTTCTTAACATCTTAATCTTTTTGAGCTGATTCTCAATTTTAGCTTTATAGAAAACAAATTTCTCTATTGCCACAGTTTTGTTTTTCAACTAATACTTATAAGAATATTTTGTGCCATCCTGTACAGAGGTACCTATGTCCACATTTAGTATGAGCAAATTTTAAATCATAATTATTACTATGGTTCACTGGTTTTTTCGAATTTCTTGGAACAAGTACTCAGTTAGTTTTAAGTCTACATAAGTTTCACACTTATGGTTGGAATTAATATGAAAAACTGGTATGTGATCCAAGTTAATTATTCTTTGTAATGCAGCCTAATTAACTTCTCTCACTCTACCATTCCATAATTAATTTTCATTCTTGTTGGTATATTTTGGCTGTGTAGCAATTACATTTATTTCTCACATGCCATCCCTCATGTTTCTTCTTCCCCACATAAGTTTTCTATTTTGACAACACTATTTTCTGTATTTTAAGCCTTTAAAAAACGTTCCAGAAATGGTGTTCTTCTAGACACACAACATGTTTTCAACTTCTCTCTCTCTCTCTCTTTTTCTTTTCTGATTTTATCTTCAAGAAAGTTGTCCATTTATCCTTGATCCAAAAAATTAGAGTTACTCGTGTACTGCTCTTTAATTTCTAGAGTTGTAAAGTTAGGAAATATACAACTTTGTTTGAATAGATGTGATGTTTGACCTTGGTATGTAACTAGTAACCACTTCTTTTTGGTGGGGGAATTGACCATATTGACGTCAGAGACCACAATAGAGAAGTTGATGTCAAGAATATCTTGAGTGATGTCATCCACCATGCTGGACTCTTTTTAATGTTTTTTTTTCCTTGCTTCCTATAATCCGTGGCTTGTGACCTACGCTGACACAATTAAAACACTAAAGCTTTCCTTTTGAAACTTTGGGTTGTTTTCTTTCTTTCTATTTTTTTTGCACTTCATGGCCTTGGAGCCTCGACTATGTTCTACCACATGGTCCACATTAGCCTTTGTAGTATTGGTGGCCTTTGTCGAGCTTTTGTCATCTTCTTCAATAATAACACTAACAATGACCTCTTCATTTTTTATTTCCTTTCTGTAGTATTTTAAATAGTTCTTAAAGTACTTCAAGCCATGTCCAGCTTCTCGATATCAAGAGCTATCTGATTGGAATAATGTAGTCCTTCCTTCCGTGCAAATTTGGTGGATAATTACTTGGAGCCTTTGACCATAGTCCTCTGCCATTTTAAAGTCCAAAAGTTGACCCATCAAACATTTCTTGGCACCGATTTCCTCTTAACATATATTTATGAACCAAGGCACCATAATTCTTTGAGTTCTTTGAGTTGTGTTTACTATACAATACATTGAACAAGCCACTTAAACCTAATTCTGTTATAGGAAGTTAGAGTGCTTTTGTGCATTCAATTATCTTTTATAGTACGTTGGCCTCCATCTTGCATCTCTCTTTATTCAATGCTGTCAAGTAAAATATCTTTTGTTTCTACCTTTTGAAATTCAGGCCAATGAATTTCTCCATTTTCTTGTTGTAGTTCAACACAATCAACATCTGCAATGGTGTTTCAAGTTTAAAGCTTGAACATTGGCTGAGGATTCAGGTGTCGCATCAGTGCAACTAGGAAGCATAAGGCATAACACCTAAGTTTGAATTCTCAATCATTTCTAAAAGTAAACCATAAAGTTATAATAAATAAATATTTTTAGAAATAAAAATGAAAGAAACAACCATAACTTTGATCTTCTTTCAACAACCATTCATCTCTTTATAAGGAAAAATATATTTTAAGATGGTTATAAATATTGCATGTATATAATGAAATAAAATGCAAAAGTTTATCAACATCCATGAAAATATTACAATATTATTTAAAAAAGTGAACTCCCAACAACCTATTGATCGCTTTTGAATTGAAGATCTGTTTTACGATGGTTATAATTATTGCATTTAAATAATGAAGTAAAACTGACAAATTTACCCATATATGTGAAAATGTTACAATATCACAACAAGAAAATTCAACTTTTAAGCTGAAATCTGAAAGCATGGTTTCATAAGAAGTTGATGCTTGTATTCCATTGTTTATTAAAATATATTTTCTCTCTCTATGTATGTTAGATGATATTATGAATTTTCCTATATACAATAACAACCAAGCAGTCATCCGACAGAATTTGTGTATTCATTTTCTCCTAAACCCCTAATACTTTAGAAAGAACTTAAGTCTAAGAAGCATGAAAAAATTGAGAAACCTTTCTTATATAGATTGTTGCATGGGATGTTACAAAATTTGAAATAATGGGTGATTTAATTTGAATTAATCTCATTGGTTACAATCTTTCAATTTTTTATTAAATTGGCCTTTTTTTTTTTTTGCAAAATTCTTTGATTAGTCACCAATATTATCACTTAATTGGCTGGTTATAGCTGTTCCAATTCCCATTTATTAACAATTTGAAAAGCAATGCCAAGCCTGATAGGGCAAATTCACATTGGCCACATCTTGCGGGCAAGCACATTGGCTCCTTCCTAATTCTACAAGGCCATGATTTGCAACTCCGCTGCGTACGTAGGGAGCTTCTAGGATAGAACTTACCCAATTTTGCTTGTACATTCTCTTTTAAACTCCAACCGATAAAGTTCCCTTAGTAATGTGGGACTTTACATTCTCAACAAATTTCCAACAATGAACAATATCAAATGGGCATACTCTGAGCATCAATTTTTCATCTATTTGATTACCAATTTGAGTACGTGAATATATGATTATGATCCCCTCGTGATGGAGGGCACATATCTACCAAGATAGATCACTGTTACAAAGTGGCCCCCTCTTAAATTCGGGACTCAAAATGACTTCTTATCATAATTTTGCAAACCATTTTTTCTTAGCAATTAATGTCTCATGCAACTCCCAAAATATATCAAATGAATTTTGATAATTCATAAATCTAACTATAAATGGTGAGATCAGGTTGTGATGATGAATGTGGTTGACCAAGTTAATACATCGAACATGGTTTTTTTAATACTTAAAAAAAAAAAATTTTGGTTGGGGTTCCAGTTTACTGAAAATGGGCTACAACTTTTCTCATTTTGGTTGGGGTTCCAGTTTACTGAAAATGGGCTACAGCTTTTCTCATAAAACTCATTAAAAAAATATGTAAGATTTGGGGTTTAGTCTGTTGGAAATGAAACACAACTTGACCTATACTTTTTTTCGCTATTTACTTGATACAATTTTACTAAAAATGAAATATCCCAAGTTGTGAGGGATTATAAGTTTACCTCTGCATGTGCAACATGGCCAACAGATTAGAGCAAAGTTTCTTGGCTAGCAATGTAATAATATGGTAATGCTTTTTTGATGCTACAATTCCATGCAGTTTTTGT